AAAAAAAAAAAAAAAAAAAAAAAAAAAAAAAAAATTAGGGCCTCGTGCAGTAGCACACATCCATAACACCAGCTACTTGGAGAGGCAGGAAGATTGGAAGTTTGAGTTCATCCTGGGTCGTGTGTTGGGAACCTGTATCCAAATAAAGGGAAGAGGTGGTAGTTCAGTGCTAGTGCTCCAGCCCATCAGGCATATGGCCCTGGACTCAACCTTTTTGCTCAGCTTCTGAGTTTCCACGATCTGTTGGGCTGTGTCAAGGCGGGTGGCAGAGCTCAACTGCTCACCTCATGGCCAGGAAGCAGAAAGAGAGAAGGCTGCATCACTAATAACCTAAGGACTTCTCCCAAGGCTCCACGTCACAAAGTTTCCACCACTTCTTCAGCACTATCCTGGGCACCAAGCCCAGGGGCCGCGGGGAGAGATTCTTCGGGTCTGACTTCCTTCAAGAAGACCTCCGCTGTCCTTCCTACTTATTATCTGCCCCATATCTCCACCTTCAGAATGTCCCAGGGCCTCCAGTTCCTCAGCCCTTTGGAGATTCTGTGACCTGAATCATCCTGCTCCTTGCAGGCATTCAGTCTTGTGCAGTAGAACTCCTGCTGGCCAGAAGAACCTGACTGCGGTCCATCTTTCTAGCTGCTGTCTTCCTTAAAGAGGAGCGGAATCAGGATGAGATGTATGCACAGGGTGACTTGAAGGCACAGAATCCCCAGCTCAGCCAGGGGAGTCTTTTGGGAGGACTGGCTCTTGAGCCACACACTGGAGATGGGTTGAAATACAGGGCAGGGAATTCAAGGCAGAGGTTGGTCTGGGGGAAAAGCATGCAAAACATGAGCACAGCATTTTCAGGTGACTTTGAGTAGTTTATAGCTGAAACGAGAAGGAAAGAGAACCTAGAGAGAGAGGTACAGTGCTGAATATTCTTGGTTTTGAGATGTTTTCAAATAACTACCATGTGCTATGGGTTACTCTGGATGCTAGATACCCAATGGAAATCCAATGAACTTGAACTTTTTAAAAAATACCCTATAGCAATGATGGCAAACATTTCAGAGCTTTCAGGGATACAGCTCTCTGTGGCATGCATGCTGTAGGTTTGACACCACTGCCCTACAGTGTGCTTTTCCAACAAGGTCCCACATACTGCCAGCGGTAGCAGAGAATACAGTGACAATCTGTGTTGTAGGGCAGTGGTTCTTTTATTTTCATAAAGCATTGCCATAGTTATTAGCATATGCTTGTAATGCTTAATAATTATATTTACTTGGGGAATTGGTACATATACATGTCACGTCTTGTTAAAATTTTTATTTATTAGTACATGTCTGCAATGCTTGAAGTTTCTATTCATCTTAAGGATGAGGTGCTTGTGTAACACATCTTGATTCTTTTTTGTTCCCCTTCCCTCCCCACCCACTTTCCTCCATCTGTCTCTAGATCCCCTTTCCCTGGATTTATTATTACTAAGTGCATGTTTTCCAGGTGTATCCATTTTCCTACAAGTGTCTCAAAGGTATCCTTTATAGCTAAGTAGTATTCTACTATGTATAGATACCACATTTTCTTTTTCTGCTTGTTGAAAGACAGCCTGCTTCTAGGATTCAGCAGTTTTGTACTGATAGATACCTTGGTATGCATCTATTGCTGTAACATGATATATTTAGCTCTTTTGGGAAGACATCTAGAGAGGCAATAGCTGTGTCAAATGGAGTTTCTAATTGTAGTTTTTTGAGAAATCACTATACTACTTCCATAAGGGTTGTACTAGTTTGCATTCCCATCAACAATATCCAAGGATTCCTTTTTCACCACAGCCACACCACACCACTATTTATTTGAATTCTTGATTGTCACACTTTCTGTTGTAAGATGAAATTGTAGTGTTATTTTAATTTGCACTTCTTTAATGTCATATCAGTGTATAAAGGTCTATAAGGCAGGCCTACAATGGCTGCCTGCAGAGTCAGGTGTGGAAAAGTGCACAAGGGGCTGTCCACACACTGGCTATTGGGAGAATCCCATCCAAAGTCAAAGGCCTGGAGGGCACTGTAGAGTTCCATGTGAGTCTGTATCAGGAGGACGAAGGGTCTGTGCGAAAAGCCAAGAGATGACATCCAAGGCGAAGGTGAAGAGGAGCTCCATCCTCTGAAGAAACAAAACCAAACTTTCTCTCTTCAATTTCCTTTTATTCCATTCAGGCTACAAGCCTGTTGGTTGGTGTCCTTCACACCTGGGCTGGCTCTTCTGCTTCAGTAAATCTCTTCAGCCACACTCAGAGCTATACTGATCAAATTAATCAGCTGTTTCTTATTCAAATTGACACAGTAGTTAACTATCACAGCCAGAGAGTCTGAATGTTTTTACACATGTTTATTGGCCACTTGTACTTCTTTTGAGAAGAGTCTGTTCATTTCACTTGCCCGTTTTTTTTGCCTGGGCCTTTTATTTTGGGTCGACTAATTTTTTCATACATTTTATGTTTCATATTTTTATATATACTAGATATTAGACCTCTGCCTGAAGACTAGTTGGCAAAATTTTTTCCCCATTCTGTAGGCTGTCTCTTCATTCTGCTGATTGTTTCTTTTGTTGTCCAGAAGCTTTTTGATTTGACATCCCATTTGTTGATTCTTGCTTTGGTTTTTTGTGCAATTAGAGTTCTGTTCAGAAAACCTTTGCCTACACCTATGACTTCAAAGTATTTTATCTTCTAGTAGGTTTATTGTTTCCATTTTAATGTTTAGATCTTTGATCCATCTTGATTTTAATTTATTACCTAATGAGAGATATGGATCCAGTGTCAATATTCTGCATACAAAGTAACCTATTTGCCCACCACCATTTGTTAAATAGGCTATCTTTCCTCCAGCATATTGTTTTTGGTCCCTTTATTATTTATTTAAGCAACAATTGTAGACTAGTATTGGTCTATTTTGGAGAAAGTTCTGTGTGCTGCAGTGAAGAATGGGCAGTCTGTTGTAGTCAAGTAGAATACTCTGTAGATCAAGACCATATGTTTAAGGGTATATTTCAGCTCTAATTTTTTTTATTCTTTATTTATTTGATCTATTTCTGCAAGAAGTGGGGTTCTTGATTCTGACTGCATATTATACAGAAGTAAGAAGCCTTTCTTTTGTTTAGCAGGGTGTAGTTTTGCTTTGTTCCCCAAGCTGGCCTTGCATTTGAGATCCTCCAGCCTCAGTCTCTCAAGTGACTGGGATTACAGGCACACACTACTGTGCCAGCTTAGGTAGGGACTTTTAACAAATACTAATTCCTGGGTCTATGCTGGAGCTGCCATACAGTTGCCTTAGGGTGGGTCCAAAGTTTTTCTATTTAATTTTCCTAAATGAAGCAGATGTGAGCTGAGTTGAGAATGATTGCCCTAGGGATCCTTGCCAGTTGTGAAAATGGAAGGTGGTCAGACAGGGTTGGTACATACTTAAATAGAATTGTTCCTCAATCAAAAGATTAAGACCTAAGCAAAATACAGGTTTTTTTAAAAATGAAGAAAAAATTTGTTCCTTAATTTCCTGAACTTAAGAAATTTTGAAATCATCTTTCTAAGTTACTGTGTTTTACACATTTTATAATTGCTTCTTTTTCAATTTTTATTTTTGTTATAGCTATTTGCCATATAGAATGATTGCATTTATGATGGAAATTTATTATATGCACCTGACACATCTTAATTCTTTTTCTTTTTTCCCCTATTCCTTTCCCCTCCCTTCAACGCTTTTTGTCAGTATCATATTGAGGATTTTTGTGTCTGTGCTCACAAGACG